CACTTAGACACTTTGTAAGCATCCTGGAGCAAACTGTTGTCTAAAAGAAATAAATCGTAAAAAAAAGAAAATTGTAATTCTGGTTGATCCTGGGCCATCTGGGTAATGTGCAGGATGTTTCTGTTCCTCTGTTACATTTGGACCATGGAGTAATTTGTGAAGGCAGAACTGGCTGTAGAAAGCAGTCAAAAAGGACATGAAGGATAAGACAATAGGCTACAAACACTTTCATGCAGACGTTGGCTGTATGGGGTAATACAAAGGAAAATTTATATTGGTCTCATTCTCTCTGTTTTGTACTGTATTTTCCTATTATTTTCAGAAGTAACTGTCTGCTTTTTATATACATTGAGTACCAGTTACGAATCTTATTTGGAGGATTGAGAGCATCAAGGGCAGGGGATGCAAGCTGTTGTGTAAACCTAGACGTGTACAGATCTTTCTAGGAACAGATATCATTCAAACTAATAAAGGAAGAAAACTCAGAATATCAAATGTGAAAAATAAGACTGCAGAAAAGTTTAAAAGTATCTAATATAGAAATTGAAGAGGTCTCTGAGTCTTGGATGTTAAATGACCCATTCCTCCTCATCTTTATGAACTATCTAAATTGCGTTACTGAATCTATTCTTCCATCTCAACTGGTAAAACTAACTGAGTGAAATCAGAGCTCCTGCATGCTATGGTTTTGTAGTGAAGAGCCAGCATAAAAGGAAATTTCCATGAATCTAAAACAAAGGCAACTGATGGAAAAGAAGGCCTACAGAGTGTGGAAACAAGGACAGGTGGCCTAAGAATACAGAGCGATTGTCCGAGCAACCAGAGATCAGGTTAGGAAAGCCAAAGCTCTGATAGAATTAAATCTGGCCAGGGACATCAAGGGCAGCAAGAAAAACTTCTATAGCTATGTCAGTGATAAAAAGAAATCTAGGGAAAATGTAGGCCCTCTCCAGAAGGAAACAGGGCACCTGGCTACCCAGGATATGGAGAAGGCTGAGGTTCTCAGTGACTTCTTTGCCTCAGTCTTCACTGGCAAGAGCCCCAGCTGCACAGTCCAAGTCACAAAAGGCAAAGGCAGGGACTGGGAGAATGAAGAACCGCCCACTGTAGGAGAAGATCAGGTCCAAGACCATCTTAAGAACCTGAAGGTGGACAAGTCCATGGAACCTGATGAGGTGCATCCGTGGGTCCTGAGGGAACTGGCAGATGAAGTTGCTAAGCCACTATCCATCATGTTTCAGAAGTCGTGGCAGTCTGGTGAAGTTCCCACTGACTGGAAAAGGGGAAACATAGCCCCCATTTTTAAAAAGGGGAAAAAAGAAGACCCAGGGAACTAAAGGCCAATCAGTCTCACCTCTGTGCCCAGCAAGATCATGGAGCAGATCCTCCTGGCGACTATGCTAAGGCACATAGAAAACAAGGATGTGATTGGTGACAGCCAACATGGCTTCACTAAAGGCAAATCCTGCCTGACTAATTTGGTGGCCTTCTATGATGAGGTTACAGCATTGATGGATAAGGGAAGAGCAACTGACACTGTCTGCCTGGACTTATCCAAAGCATTTGATACTGTCCCACACGACATCCTTGTCTCTAAACTGGAAAGACATGGTTTTGATGGATGGACCGCTCGGTTGATAAGGAATTGGCTGGATGGTTGCACTCAAAGAGTTGTGGTCAACGGTTCAATGTCCACGTGGAGGCCTGTGACGAGTGGTGTTCCTCGGGCGTCAGTACTGGGACCAGTGCTATTTAACATCTTTGTTGGTGACGTGGACAGTGGGATCAAGTGCACCCTCAGCAAGTTTGCAGATGACACCAAGTTGTGTGGTGCAGGAGATGAGAGAGGACACCTGACATGATCAATGTGATCAAACAAGTGAACCTTTATTTGTTTACACTTAGCGTGATTTATAGCTTTCTAAACAAGACTTGGCAATCTGTGCTTGTCTATGATACAAGCAATAGCCCACCCCCCAGTATAATTGGTTGCATCCTGGAAGCGACATTATTATGGTGTCCATTTCCCGTTCCACGTCCATTTCCCGTTCCACATCCATTTCCTGTTCTGCATCCAGGCACCTGCTCTCAGGAAAGGCTGGATTATTCACATGTCCATTGATTCTCAGGCATCCTTCCACACATCCTCCTTCTTGTTTTTGAGCAATTCAGACTTGTTTTACAACCCGTTCAATCATTTTTGTAAACAAGCGTAACAGACAAGAAATTAAGAGAATCATTGCGATAACTACTAAAACTAATAGAAGGCTTTTCATCCTGGTGCAAATATTGAAGCCCAAATTCTGCTCTGGAATCACACTAGCTATTATAAGCATGCATGCTTCCCCTATTCCAGGTGTACATAGATCCCCCACTTATATGCGAAGGAATACCCTGTCAAGCTCTATCATAGCCCTACAGAAACAGTTACTGGCATATTGTTTTGGAACAGCCTTGCAGAAGCAGTTACTAGCATATTGTTCCCCTTTCTGGGAGTCTTACCATCTCAACTATGCCCAAGATTCTGCTGAGCAGGAGGATGTCAATCAGCAGGGTCATCGTGGAGAAGGGAGGCAGGCACAGCACCTTCAGGGCGTCCCCTGTTTATCCACAAAGTGTGCTCTGTAGCCTCCTTCTACTCTGCTCTGAGCCATCTCTTTTATACCCTCAACAGAGTCTATGAAAAAGAGTACTGACCGGGCGTTGCTGCACGCGTGGCCAGTACATGCAACAAGGCCTGCCAGGTATGTGTTCTACTGGCTAACAGCAGATTTTTCAAATTGCGACATGTTGTTCAATAACAATTCTCCTAGTTTCCTTTTTCAAAGTTACGTACTCACAACTAAGTCCAGTTTGTATTCTTTGTCATTAATTTGATACCAGTCAATTATTTTCCTTCCACTAGCTATGGGCAGAATCCTTGCACCTTCCGATCGGAAAAAAAACACACAAAGCATATATACAAGCAACTTCACACCTGTAATATACCAAGCAATAAGAAACATAAAAACAGTTTGCGTATTAACATAAAATCTTATTATGAGTCTTTTGAACCATTCTCCTCATTTGGTGTTTCTGTCATCTCTGCTTGTTCTGTTAATTCTTGGATCTCCCTTTCTCTATCTATAGTTTCAAAAGTCCTAGTTGGTTTTACATTTCCTGTCAGTAACCAGTGGTTTGCTTCTGGTATATATGGTTTTACCCACTTCGCCAGAACCCACAGTGGTCCGTTTCCTGTAAGTAAACACATATATCCTCTGCCTGTTACTTTTAATTCTACTGGTCCTTCTCATTTCCCTGTTTTTAAATCTTTATAGAGTACTAGGCCTTGTGTTTTTTCTTTCCAGAACAAGCCCATTCCTTTACTGTGTACTATCATAGGCAGCTCATCACTGTTCCCTGCCAGCCGTAAAAAGTTCAGGACATACGTTTTCACTAATCGATCACTGGGCAGCCAACCCTGAGTTCCCCCTTTTTGTTTTAACAACATGGTTTTAACGTGTGGTGGGAGTGCTCAATGATCGCTTGACCAGTGGGAGAATATGGTATCCCAGTGCAGTGAATGATGCCCCAAAGATTGCAAAAGTGAGCGAAGCATAAGCGGGTCTGTTATCTGTCTTAATTACATGTGGAACCGCTAAAACTGCAAAGCAAGCATATAAATGTCGCTCGACATGTTGCGTGGTCTCTCCAGTTTGTGCAGTAGCCCAAATTGCCGTAGAATAGGTGTCTATACAGACGTGCACGTCTTTCCAACGTCCAAACTCTGTTACATGAATAACATCCATCTGCCATAGCTGGAGCGCATGTAGTCCTCATGGATTGACACCTTGACCGAGACCAAAGCCTAGCTTCTGACAGGAAGTACAGGACTTTACTATGCCTTGTGCGTCTGCTAAGGGGATATGAAATTGTCTCTGGAGCACCTTGGCTGATTGGTGGAAAAAGTCATGAGACATATGAGCTTTGGAAGGCATCTATAGGTGGTCCTGTCCACGCAGGTGCTACTAATTGATGAGCACGGTTATTGCCACAATTGCTAAGCCTTGTTGAATTAGATGACTTGGAAGGCATCTATAGGTGGTCCTGTCCACGCAGGTGCTACTAATTGATGAGCACGGTTATTGCCACAATTGCTAAGCCTTGTTGAATTAGATGACTACGTATATGCGTAATAAAGTAAGGAACAGAGCGCATATTTTGTAAATATAACAGCTAACCTAATAACCTGCCTAAAACTGGATTAGATATTGCCTTTAACATAGCCTGTTCTAACCGACGTACTATACCTACTACATGTAACGAATCTGAAACAATATTGATAGGTTGCTGAATCCAGTTTGAAAATGTCCATACCACGGCTTGCAGTTAAAGAGTCTGTAACGAGTCCTTCAGGCCTCCTTTGATGACATGTTCCTCCCAGGTACCTGCTGAAGATTGCCACGTACTCACAGCCTTTTTTGATTTCCGTCCTGCATCGGTGAATATCATAAGTCCTTCCACCGGAACCTCCGACAGTTGGTGGAGTTGAAACAAAATCTTGGTCAGTTAAAAATGTTAACATGTTGTGAGCAAGAAACTGATTACTTAATTGACCTGAAAACCCACATAGTGCTGTTTGTAATTCTGATGAATGTTGTAAATTCCATTCAAGCCAGACAGATGCAATTGGTAATACTATTATTTCAGGATCTTTCCCTGCTGTTTCTAATAGACGCGTCCTTCCCTTCATTATCAGAAGGGCAAGCAATTCTATTCTTGTTGTAATGGCTTTGTGCTGTTGCATGGGTAGGAAAACCCATTCCAAAATTGACAAAGGATCTCTTTTTGATTTGTCCCATTGCATAAAAAGAGCAAATGGATGCTTCCTGTTTTGATTAGAATTGACAACTACTAATGTTATCGGTTCATCTTTGACGAACCTTGATCCGTATCGAGAAGTTAATTTTGCTGAAATCGTTTGTAAAGCTATTTTTTGGGATGGTCCAATTTCTCTGGATTCATTTGCATGGTTGCTTGTCCCCAATACGATTGCTTGTCCCCAATAACTGAATTAGAGGACTTGAGTCATCATTTGTAATTCCACAAATATTGCGCACCGACTGAATACCACCAACCAACTTTTGTACATCTGACAATGTTTTAATGTTTGTTTTCAGCTCGACCTTTTGTGGCTTTATTTGGGATTCTGTGATAATCCATCCCAGATAATGCCACGGTGTCTTTTCTTGAATTTTCTCTGGAGCAATTTTTAGTCCCTTTCCTTCCAGCTGTGTAATAAGTTCAGGTATAAGCGTTTTTGCATCAAGTTCTTCCCCAGCAATCAATATATCATCCATATAATGATATATTAAGTACTGTGGGTATCTTTTCTGAATTGGATCTAAGGCCCATGCAATGAAAACATCTGGCATATTGTAGGTGAATTTTTCATGCCTTGAGGCAACACAATCCAGTGGTATCTTTTCGCAGGCTCGGCTCTATTTACAGAAGGTACCGTAAATGCAAAACGTTCCGCATCATCTGGATGTAATGGTATTGTAAAAAATCAATCTTTTAAGTCAATTACTAACAATTTCCACTTTTCTGGAATCATTGATGGGGACGGTAAACCTGGTTGTAAGCTTCCCATGTCCTCCATTATTGCATTAACTGCTCGTAGATCATGCAACAATCTCCACTTTCCGTTCTTTTTTGGTATTGTGAAAATTGGAGTGTTCCAAGGACTTATTGACGGCACAATATGGCCTGCACACAACTGTTCGTATACTAGTTCCTGTACTTTGAGCAGCTTTTCTTGAGAGAGTGGCCAATGATCAATCCCAAGTTATTTTGAGGATAGGCTGCTCCCCAGTGGCCGCAGCTAAAAAGGCTGGGTCATGATTTGCACTTTCATTTGGCTCAACAAGTCTCTACCAACCAACGTGATTGATGTGTTCATGGCATATGGCTTAGTAGATACTTGCGTCCCGTCTGGAAAAATAAATGAAATCACATTTTGGCTAATTCTGGTGGATTGAGTTCCCTCAATGCCAAATATTCCTAATTGTGAATCGAGGGTCGGCCAATTGGCTGGCCAATTGTGTGCAGCTATGATTGTGACATCAGCGCCTGGATCAATTAACATTTTTCTTGTTATTTTAACACTGGTCCTAACATTGTTACCATCATTTCGGGTTTTGTCCTTTTCAAATCCAAAGCAAAGTATACCTCTGGTGATCCACCGGAGCCAAATCCTCCTTCTCCTCATTCAACATCATCAGGTGAAGGCACGCAGCTACGGAAAGGCTCTAATTGAGCAATTTTATTGCCCTTTGGAATAAAAATAGGTGGAGTTAATGTTTATACCATGATCTTAATAATCCCTGTGTAGTCTGCATCAATAACTCCTGGTAATACGAAATTACCTTGACGTGATGGAGATGAGTGACCAATTAATAAAGCTGATAACCCCTCACCTAATGGTCCCTTTACGTTTGTGTCTATTACTACTACTTTGTCGGATACAAGCATTGAATCTACTGTGGTTTCCACATCCACTCCAGCACTTCCTGTGGTGGCGGCACGGAGGGAACAAATTCCTGACTTGATACTGGTGTTGCTCCCTGATTTACTATCATCGCGCGCGGGGCTGGCGCGCTCGGTTTCCAGTTTCCCTGCTTCTGGCACTCGTTGGTATTATGATTATCCATTTTGCAATTTTTGCACCATTTCTTGCTACCATATTGCTGCTGCTGTTGTAGCTGTTTACATTGGTTTCTGTAATGGCCTGACTTCCCACAATTAAAGCATTTCTTTTGCTTGGCTCCTCCCCCTTTTTGTCAAGCGTTTCTTTTGCTTAGCTCGTCCCCCTTTTTGTTTTAATAGAGGACGAACAGCACTATATACCGCAGCAGCAACTAAAGATGCAGGACCGGTGGTG